ATCAATGCATATTACTAATCAAAAATTTAGTTTTAATATATTTACAGTAGGAAATTCACAAAATATCTTCATGGAACATGATCTTTACTTAATATCCTAATGATTTTTGGCATAAAAGAAAAATCTATAATTTTGACCCATACAATGTATTTTTGGCTATTGCTACAAATATACTCCAGCGACTTAAGACTGGTTTTGTGGTCCAGGGTCACATTTGTGAAATTTACTAGCAATTTCTGAGTGAACATTATTATTTTCAAAGTAAATCATTTTCTTCTTCTTCTTTTTCAGCGTACTATTAGTCAGCTTTAAAGACACAAAGTCAGTAACGTCTCCTGTTTCCCTCTCTAAGCTAAGTGGAGTGATATTTCACTCAGCATCAGAAACATCTGTTTTTGTCTGCTGTATTCATAGTACCAGGGCATCTAATAGCTTGCTAATTCAATAGCAAAAATGGACATATGCTACGCTTTTGTTTGGAGGCAAAGCCTGAGACGTGACTGTGACCAAGCCAGGCTTTGCTTTATCGTGATTAGCCACAGTATCACTTAAACGGCAGCTGTAGGATTTCATTGGACAGCATTAGACAGAACAGCTGGCCCAGCAAACTCTCTGGCATAGTGCTTATCAACACCTTGTGTTTATCTTTACACTGAAAACCTAAAGCTTAGCAAGAACACGCACTTTGACTGGTCCTTTGGTATGTGCATTTTAGTTATTTTGACTACTCGAGTAATCAGGAGGGTTGATCGGAGTTCTGTTCCGTTTTGGTTCATTTGTGTTTCATTACTGGACTTCAAACAGTGTCAAATGTTTTGAAGAATCAAATCACACAAAAATCAAGTAATGCAATCAATGTGTTTTCATGATCAATCATTACTACCACTTTTGAACAGTCCGAACGGATCTCAGTAATCTGTCATGCACATATTTATCTGTTTCTGGCAAACACTGCTTAATGAAGAGCACTGAACATCTATAGTTAGTGAACTCTATAATCACAGCTTAAATGTGCTGCCTTCACAAGGGACATTGACCAATAGTGGTATTTCTGTGGATTTGCAGACAAGGTAACATCAACAGCATGATTTAATATGGCAATAATTCAGGTGCATGCATTATATAAAAGAACAGTGGTATTACCATATGATACCACCACAGTACTGTTTTCTGGAGAAAAAAAAAGGAACGCATTGTAGGGACTTAACCGTAATTTAAGTCGTTAATTCTTGATAAGGGAATTAATCATTAATTTTATTTCTAGCTCAGGTTTTGAAAGAACTCGATCTGAGAATTCGAGGTCCACCTGATCAAAACTAAATCCAAATCTGATAGAAAGCTTTGTTGACTCCTGATTGAATTAATTCGAAGCCTCATGATGGTGATTCAGTGGCATATCCGTGTCCTGTTCATGAAATCCCTACAGCATATTTTAGAATTCTCAATTCTGAGTGAAATGTGCTATGTTTAAACAGAAAAGAAAATCTTTGTGTTATTATAATTGGATACATTTTAACTGTTAGTGCATGGCTATAATTTTAGACCCCCACATTTCGCATAACACCTATTTCGACACTCTTTTCGACCAATTTTAGCAATTTCAGTAATAACTCAGCATTGTTCCATCACATTGTCCCTTTCTAAGAGCCTTTGATTCCAAAGTAGTAAAGTAACAAAGTCTGCTGCAAGTTATATTATAAATTGAGATTTTGATTACTCTAAAATTTTGCCTTTGTCAGAAAACTGAAAAAAATAGGCTAACTGACTAATTATAATAGCGAGAAAATGGATAATTAAATTAGGATATAGTTGCATGTTTTAGTGTGGTAAATGGGTAGAAGAAGAATCAAAGGAAAACAATAGCTCTATTCTAAAACATAGTGGGAATAGAGCTAGTTGGAGTAGTACCCTTGCTGTTTACTGTCCACATAGACTGCTGCCACATAATAAGCTAGAATATTGCTAAGCTAATGGCAGTACAGTAATATGCTTAAAAATACAGAGTACAAAAAAAAAATACTCATAAGCTAACAGCATAAGTTGTAAGTCTCTATTAACAAATCTAAATATTTACATAAAAAAAAGTCAATTTTTCAAATATCAAATTTATTGATACTGTAAATTCAAACATACTTTCCACATAATGTTTTTCGGCTACTATGTAGTAAAGAAGTATGCAATTTTGGATCCAGCCATTGTCTTAGAGGCAAGGGAAAGTTGGATCTAATTGCAGTTCATTCAAAATAAATAAATAAATAAATAAAACATGTAAAAATACTGTACAACAAGGAACAGGGAACAAAAAACTGTGTCTACAAAATAAATGCACAAAGACAGGCAATGTGTTTGGTAATTAATTAATTAATTAAATAATATATTTACAAAACTGATGTTCATGTTTACTAATAGTGATACAACCCACTTAATTTTAGATAAATAATTTCAGTTGTAGATTTATAGTGGGCAAATTATAAAAAAAATTGACATAAATACACACACGCACGCACGCACGCACACGCACACGCACGCACACACACACACACACACACACACACAAGACACACGCACACGCACACACACACACACACACACACACACAACAACCTGTGATACTTGCTAATTTGTACATGCTCTTGGTAGATTGCATTGGTCATTATTGAAAAGCACTGGCTGTGTCTGTGTTCTTTCATTTGTGCATTGTCAGTAGATCACCCATATAATTTTTCAGCCCTATTGGTGCTTTTATGGATTTGCGGTCTCATGCTAATTTGCCCTATTTAGCAAATCTGTCCCATAGACTTTTAAGCAAAAACAGGGGTTACTATTACAACTTATCTCTTGTTTCATCTGACTTTTTTTGTTTTGTTTACTGAGCTTGTTGCAATAGATTGTGGAATTTCATCACCTGCGAAGGGTCACGTGACAATGTTTTTTTTTTTGTTGCCAAAATGAGGTACAATTTGGAACAGCCTTGCCCTGTTTACAATGCACTGCAACAACTTAAGCCTATCTACACTGGATGTGTTAAAGCGAATGTTCCAAAAAAAAAGATCACCTCGATAACTCTTTCCTAATCCATTTGTCCTGTTGTTGGAAATACACAAAAGAATGTCAGAAATAGAACTGGGTATCCGTCTATGCTGTTAGTGTGCTATTGTCAGCAGCATCATTTATTATAAGGGCTATTTGTGCCTTTGACATGACACAACATGACACAACGCCCTGTTCACATCCAGTGTAGACAGTGTAGAGTGTTAGTGATGGGAATGCGCCACAAACGTTTTACAATGCTGTCTTGGCTGGCAGCTCAGTAGATTTTCGTACAGAGCTAATATATAGAAGCAGTCAGAGAAAAGCCATTTAGAGAGACAGAGAGGCTAAAGACTAAGATAAGACAAAAGTGAACACTATAACAGGGTACTGAGTCACCCCTGAAGAAATCACATGAAACTTTTCAGCCTTCTTTCACCTCCAAAGGGATTCTTGTTTAGCCAGTAAATGTATTTGCCTCTGCTTTCAAACCATGACATATGTCAAATTAACAGCACGGCTCGCTGTTTGTCTCAATAGCAGGGTGGAATTGCAGTTGGCTACATTAATCTCTTCTTGGGTGGCACTGCTTAGAAGACTAAAGCTGGTGCTCTAATAATGAACAACAACAGGACTGAGTACACTTGACGTACCATTAGCTGTCCTTTCCTTTTATTATAGCTAATAAATGTGCTTTGTATGAGGGGGAGCCGGTACTGCCAGGGCCCGTGTGTGTGCGGGCAGGGAGTTAATGGTTGTGACACTGTGGATCCTAATGGCTATAATGTGATACAGTGGGTTCATAATTCAGGTTGGGATGCAGGGTGATTAAATCTTCATTAAAAGCAGACTGTTTCCTCTCCTGTATTTATATTACTCTTTATTTTAAATGATGGATGGAGGCAAACAGTTTATGGCTACAAAAAAAACAAAGCATGAAAATCAACAAATCCAGCTAAGAAGAGAAGAGAGGACAGACTATCTGTAATGAAAATTACTTGTGATTGTTCAAGGAAAAAACATAGCAAAAGCCAATAAAAATATTCAACTATAGGCTAAATAAACTATTCTAGTAGATGTGGAACTGAATAAACAGTGTGTAGGGAACACTAAGTCTCGCGTAGCCAGACCTTCAGGCTGACGGCTGAAGGTCTGGAATCCATGGCAGCTTTCTTTCGCCAAGGCTCGCCCATGAGGCCATTTGACTGACATGTCAAACAACCAATCACAGTTCGTTTCGTTCAATGGCACGTTTCGGGCAGTGGAAATGTCGCCACAATAACAGACCGGTGTGTAAAACTCTTGGACGTATTTTAAGGATTCTGTGCCGCGAACTTTAAATATTTTACATACTTTTGAGAATCCAGCGTTTAGTTGATCCTGCTAAGTGCTCGTCGTCACAGTTGTAAACATGACAGCTTTCTTCTTTCGTGAGGGGGTTTGGCGGCACGGCATCTTTGTTTCCAGGCAGAACGTTAAAGAACGCGACACACACATCTACCGGAAATCCTGTATAATTCAACCAATCCGATGACGACTTGAAGTGTTTCAACTTTTGTGTGCCGTATGCATCAGACGTTCAGCCAACAGTCCGTGGGCGTGACCTCTGAGGCTGAGACTAGGGAACACTTAGCTTATGCTGTTTAAACATAGGATAATAGGCCCATGTCATCAAGTTTGCATTAAAGCACATTTGGCCTGGCCCGTCAGGCCTGTCAGTCTGCCGTTTACATTCACCTCTCGGCTGTTTGACACAGAGGTGAGGGGTCAAAATGGCAGTCTGGGTACACAATCTGCACAGATGACATCAAGTCGACTTGTTCTCATTGACAAGTCTTTCTAAAAACCAGATTACTCGCCAGCAGAGAACTCAGTTTAAGTTTTCATTTGACTGGTAATGAAAAAAATCATGTCAAAAGACAGCTTTTACTCCAGGTACTAGAAATGAAAGCATGAGCTATTGCACTCACTCGTTTTATGTCTTTTCCAAACGTCTCGCTGAAGCTGGTTCCCAAAATTTCAAACTGAACGTGGGAATTTGATCCATTGTCCATGAAGTCCACAATTCCAGTGAGACCAGTTATATGGCCCTGTGGAACAAAACTGTCTGAATCAATACACAATAATGCAACACAGTAAAAAGAACTGAGCCAGATCAAAGTGCAATGTGCTGTACACTTTATGCACTGAATTTTACCAATTACAATTTTAAAACTTTAGGCTTCCTTGGGCTTGACCATAAGAATGGCCTCATGGCCTGGGGACACTGGGAGAGAGGTTTGGCTCAGTTGGCATTATCACTACTTGCCCAATCAGACCAGTGCTGCAGTTATACCATCAGTTCATTTTACATGTGAATATAGCTGCTGTTAAGCGAGCAGATACACAAAAGTGTGGGCATACACCTAGAACAAGTTCAGGTTTTCAGACGTTTTGTTGTTGTTGTCGTTGTTAAGTTTAAATGAAATGTAACTATATATATATATATATATATAAAACAGTTATAAACCCATATAAGTTTATTAACCTTTTTAAAGAAACGTTTTATAAAAGAAAATTTTCTTTAAAAGAAATTGTTTTCTTTACTGGTTTAACTGCACCACCTGCTTAGAGTGGTGTGGGTCGCTCAACATTTAAAAAGCATCACCATGAAAGGCTTATAGCTTTGACTTCAGACCAACCACTGGTTTGACTGTAGAGGGGCGGTGGAAGGTTCAGAGACAAATCTATCGGTGGCGTGTCCCTCTCAGGGCCGATTAGAGGCTTTCTGCAGTTCTGTGTGGCTCATATAACGTTAAAAGGGCGTGAAATTGAGGAACACGCACTAGACCGCTTGCTGCCCCTGAGAGCTCACAGAGACATGAGCTCCTAAGATGAGACATCAGCTGCTGCGGCCACCACACCAACTATTGTGCAGCCAGAATATTCAGCGGAGGCGTGAAATTCTGTATTGTTTTGTAAGATTTTGTGTGTATCTTACTTCTCTTTTTCCGTTTTTTTCCTTAGGTCTAAAGCAGCAGCATGTGCCCTGGAGACTGCAGTTTTTCGATTTGGCTCCTTTTAATGGTTAATTTTTCGTATTTAAAAAGAAAAAAAATATATATACATTTTTATATTTTTTTAATGGATTGAGAACTGCAGGAACTTAAAGAGCTTGCGGCTCAACTCGGAGCGGACAATGAGAAGTTGCGTCCGGAAAGGGCTTCACGAGAGGGTTAAGCAACAGTCATCGAATGTTAGGATAAATGCTGACACGGTACTTCGAGACCGATTCATTGAACACGTAAATGACAGCACATTGAGACGGGAACTTAAACAGCTTGTGCGTTGACAATCAAGTTCCACATTGTTAGATGTGCGAAGTAAAGCCCTTCGCTGGGAGCAGGAGGGGATGCCAGGGGGTGCGAGGGCCCGAAGTTATCCGTTCCTTTAGTATATGGCATTCAGTATGCCGTTCAGGGGATTCGTGGGTGGGGACTCGTAGTTCGCCCCGCGGTCTGAATTGGGTGAGTTAAAAGAAATGCTAAGAGCACAGTCAGAGCAAATAAATCCGCTTACGCAAAACTTTGCTCGATGGCAAGGTTCAGATATGCGTAGTCGAGTGCCTCACAGTGGTCCTGTGATTTGTGGAATGTGCCAAAAGCCACGTCATTTTGTAAGCGAGTGTGATGAGGAGCGGCCTCCCCAGCGCACTCTGTATTCCACTATTGGGGGGTCGGCGGACCTCTACTTCTGCGTAATCAGAAAATTAGTGCCAACCGTGCTGTAGAGCCCCAGCTCGGTTGAGGATTTTATTGGCTCCGTTTTTTTTGTCAAAAGATCCGGTGCCAGATTCCTGCTTGATACTTTCCACGAGCAGTGGAAAATGTAAGGGACGCAGTTGGGTTACCAGGGTTTGTATTTGGCATTTAGTTCTGGGATATTTCGGCCGTGGGACTGACACCTTGGTAGTTTGTAATTTATCGTCGGGACGACGACACAAGAACAGGGGGTAGAATGTAGTGATGTTGTCAAAACGTCACCATCATTAATTAGGTGGCCAATGAGCGACTGCCCGGTTAGGGTATACAAGTTGGTTGGTTCTGCCTCTTGGAGTGCGTCATGGTTGAAAGGCCGCCCCCTCCCTCCTGTTATGGCCTTCCATGTGTGTTGTTAGGCTGCTGAGATATACTGGGTGCGTGCGTTGTTTGCTCTCAGGTAAGTAATGACGTATGGGAAGCTGGGGGAAATTGTGTTCAGCCTAATATGAGTTTTTGTGTTTCAGTGCGGTGTGCCTTCACGGCCCCCATTGATTGTGGCCTCGCAGTGTAACGTAGCCCAGGTCGTAGCACCAGCTGTTGTCACGGTCACCTTTTAAAGAGGAGCCTTTAAAGAGGTTGTTGTATGATCCTTAGAACTGTTGTCATGAGCATTACACCATCGTATTAACGGGTAGGTAAATCGCTCTAATAGCTAAATAACCTCGGATGTTTTATTGTAGTTGTAATTGTGCTGTATGTGTTTTGGAATAGGTTGAGCGGGAGGGGTAATTAATACAGCTCATTTCCTATCCTGCATTGTTCGAGCCAATTTTCCCCGGTATTCCGGGGTGGCGTAATCACTACAACTGGGGCCCCTTGCTACACGTGCTATATGTGATATCCCCCCAACAGTGTGACAAGCAGCAAAACAGACTCTCTGAAAAATTCCTGACATCAAACGCATCGTACCTTTTGGATTGTCTCCAGCATGGACCAGCCTCCATTCCAGGGCTTGGTTGACTTCCTGATGCAGTTGAGGCTGGCCATACTGTGCCACTTTCGGTCCTCTAATTTCCGGTAGAATGCATTGGCCAGCATCAACACGCTATCATAAAGGTACAAATTGGACACCTGAAATCAAAAGGGAAAAAAAAGAGATGCATTAAAATTATTTTTACCAAAACCAAAATGCTGCATTCACTTAGCTGAAACTATATGAAATGAAAATAAATTACGCTATTTAATAATCAATTATTATTACATAGTAATAATTAGTACTAATCACATTTTTTTTTTTAAATAATCAACACTTAAATAAAAGTGAGTTTACATTGCACACAAGTCTTTATATCAACTTTTTATTGATATAATTATGTTTCTACTCTAAATTTAAGTTGAAATATGTTTAAACACCTTAACACTGGCAGTAATAAAAACTAGTTTTCATGACAGATTTATTCAAACATACATTAAATACATTACATTAACATTGAATAACGAAGACAAAATATACATATATAATGAGTATGTAATATAGTGCATATCTTTCGCAAAAGTCTCCTTTCCTTATTTTAACTAGTTAACTAGTGATTTATGGACACAAAGTGGCTTTAATGAGGTAAATGTAAAGTTACATTTGTTTACAAATTGATTTATTAACGTCTTTCTGCGGTTGAAACACAGTTTTAGCGATTACAGACATAATACATTTCAGTAAGTTGTATTGTTTTTTTTCAACATACCCTCTGTTCTGATGCTCATTCATATATATTTGTGCAATAACTACTAGTAAAATGAAAAGACCAACCCTGCGTCCCAATGTTCATACTATCCATCCTAAATAGTATGTGAGATTAGAATTAGTGTGTCCCAAAGCATAGTATGTTGAAAAGAGTATGCCAAAAGTCCCCATATGGTCTACTATGTCAGGTCGATTTTTGAAGTGTGGATACACGCACACTCTAATGGCTAATATTACCCACAATCCATTGCGCTTTGACAAATGATTCAGTTGAGAACTAAAAACACGAATAAAATGCGTTAAAAAACTACAAACATTGTGGATGCGAGCGATCAACGCTTAAGTAGAGAGGTTTAGATAAAGGGCTTAGTGTTACTAATAATCAACATTTAACTTGGTAAATAATATATATATATATATATATATATATATTAGGGGTGGAATGGTTCGCGGAAAAATTAAACCGTACGGTTCTCCACACACAGTTCGGCACACGCTAAGACCGCGGTTCAACTTAAATCTGACAACGCATCTGTAATATGGTTTGCTATAAATAACCAGTGTTGGGCAAGTTACTTCCAAAATGTAATACAATATATATTACTAGTTACTGTCTTTTGACAGTAATTAGTTACATTACAATATTACTGTCTCTGAATTGTAATGCATTACACTACTTTTGAGTTACTTTTGAGTTACTTTCATCCAAAATATCCACATAAGTATTGTAAAATGCCAAAATGTAGTTTAATGCTGCTCATTCTACATCCAGTGGAGGGTAATGTGGTAGGTCTATATAGCATAAAATTATAAACACATAAGCACAACTACACCCATGTTGTACACCTTGTCATTGATGACTGCAATGTTAATAATTGTAATTATAGGCCTATAATTCAATTGTATAAATTAATAGACCTGTTAAAAAGAAAATAAAAAAAATCGCGGGGGGTTATCGCGGGTTGGCATTGAGAGTGACTGACAATTGATGGTCAGAAAAAATTACTAAATAGATGTGTAAAAAAAAATACATAAAAATAAAATAAAAAATTGAAAAATGTAAAAAATCCCTACTTTCTCTCTTTTCTATGTGCGTTCATAAATTGTATTAATTTGTAAGTGTCATATTTGGCAGTTGGCATTAAAGTTATATGACTAATAACAGTGGCATATGAGAAGTTTATACCAAGAAAAAAAAAAAAGTAAAATATGCCTTTTTCGAAGCTGCTGTATATATATATACAGTGGGTACGGAAAGTATTCAGACCCCCTTAAATTTTTCACTCTTTGTTATATTGCAGCCATTTGCTAAAATCATTTAAGTTAATTTTTTTTCCTCATTAATGTACACACAGCACCCCATATTGACAGAAAAACACAGAATTGTTGACATTTTTGCAGATTTATTAAAAAAAAAAAACTGAAATATCACATGGTCCTAAATATTCAGACCCTTTGCTCAGTATTTAGTAGAAGCACCCTTTTGATCTAATACAACCATGAGTCTTTTTGGGAAAGATGCAACAAGTCTTTCACACCTGGATTTGGGGATCCTCCGCCATTCCTCCTTGCAGATCCTCTCCAGTTCTGCCAGGTTGGATGGTAAACGTTGGTGGACAGCCATTTTTAGGTCTCTCCAGAGATGCTCAATTGGGTTTAAGTCAGGGCTCTGGCTGGGCCATTCAAGAACAATCACAGAGTTGTTGTGAAGCCACTCCTTCGTTATTTTAGCTGTGTGCTTAGGGTCATTGTCTTGTTGGAAGGTAAACCTTAGTTCCAGTCTGAGGTCCTGAGCACTCTGGAGAAGGTTTTCATCCAGGATATCCCTGTACTTGGCCGCATTCATCTTTCCCTCAATTGCAACCAGTCGTCCTGTCCCTGCAGCTGAAAAACACCCCCACAGCATGATGCTGCCACCACCATGCTTCACTGTTGGGACTGTATTGGACAGGTGCCTGGTTTTCTCCACACATACCGCTTAGAATTAAGGCCAAAAAGTTCTATCTTGGTCTCATCAGACCAGAGAATCTTATTTCTCACCATCTTGGAGTCCTTCAGATGTTTTTTAGCAAACTCCATGCGGGCTTTCATGTGTCTTCCACTGAGGAGAGGCTTCCGTCGGGCCACTCTGCCATAAAGCCCCGACTGGTGGAGGGCTGCAGTGATGGTTGACTTTCTACAACTTTCTCCCATCTCCCGACTGCATCTCTGGAGCTCAGCCACAGTGATCTTTGGGTTCTTCTTTACCTCTCTCACCAAGGCTCTTCTCCCCCGATAGCTCAGTTTGGCCGGACAGCCAGCTCTAGGAAGGGTTCTGGTCATCCCAAACGTCTTCCATTTAAGGATTATGGAGGCCACCGTGCTCTTAGGAACCTTAAGTGCAGCAGAAAGTTTTTTGTAACCTTGGCCAGATCTGTGCCTTGCCACAATTCTGTCTCTGAGCTCTTCAGGCAATTCCTTTGACCTCATGATTCTCATTTGCTCTGACATGCACTGTGAGCTGTAAGGTCTTATATAGACAGGTGTGTGGCTTTCCTAATCAAGTCCAATCAGTATAATCAAACACAGCTGGACTCAAATGAAGGTGTAGAACCATCTCAAGGATGATCAGAACAAATGGACAGCACCTGAGTTAAATATATGAGTGTCACAGCAAAGGGTCTGAATACTTAAGACCATGTGATATTTCAGTTTTTCTTTTTTAATAAATCTGCAAAAATGTCAACAATTCTGTGTTTTTCTGTCAATATGGGGTGCTATGTGTACATTAATGAGGAAAAAAAATTAACTTAAATGATTTTAGCAAATGGCTGCAATATAACAAAAAGTGAAAAATTTAAGGGGGTCTGAATACTTTCCGTACCCACTGTAACCTCTAAATATGGTGGTTTTTTTCTGGCGGTATTTTGTGATTTATGGAGCGATTAAAAGAGAGATCCCCTCAGTAAAAGCCTTTAACTCTAATATGTAAAAAAAAAATTGGACCAGGCTTTATGCAATGTTCAGTTTATTATTCTGGAAATATATGCAAATGAGTGCATATTTAATTAGATAATGCAACGTTTGCATATGTGAACATAATGTTACAGAAAACTTAAAGGCTTCATTTGGCCAAAAAATTTAAATTGTCATCATTTCCTTACATCAAGTTGTTCCAAACCTGTATGAGTGTTTGAGCACAGAAAAATATATTTTGAAGAGTGTAGGTAACCAAACAGTTGATGGTAGCCATTGTATTTTTGCATACTGTGGCTACTGTAAACCATAAACTGTTTGGTTACCAACATTCTTCAAAATAT